CAATAGAGTCAACGGGTCTGCGACAGTCAGGATGGAATCAATTGTAGAGAAGCCTAGGGGATGAAATCAATTGTACGATGGAGTATAAAAGATAACAGCAATCTATAAACTAGAGAATCAAAAGTCAAAATCTTAGAAAAAAATTATATTCATTTAAAAGCTTTTCCATTTTAAAGATTTACAATATGAATGATATTATGGTTAAATACATGAAATAACAATACACTTTTATAAATTTCCTTATTATATCACTGTACTTTCATTTTCACTTATTGGTGCCAGAGCCATCACCCTTTGTTAATCTTTACCCGTCTTCATATTTCTATATGATTGGATTAGTATGCTCTGTGACTGCCGTCTACGCACGGATCTCTCACATCAGAAAACCATCCTATAGAGGAAATTGAAGATATAAGCCAGAGATTCTGCTGATTTGCACTTTCTTGTTTCCATCTTCCTTGTTAGTAGAGTTCGTAAGTCGACGTAAAGGGAAGTCGCAGCCAGTCTCAACAACAAGATATATAGAATAAGTAGTGCTAAACCAAGTCATGAATCCAGACCATAGCTTATCATGTTCTTCTTCTTGTTTAGACAGTCTTCTGCCTATAAAATAGACCAATTATATGAAATTTCTTATGTCCGAGATGATCTAGAATACCTATCACTAGTATGCCTTTAGTTAATCCCTATAATGTATTTTCTAAGCCTAATATTTCTTTTTCAAATAGTCAAAAAAAATTTAGGATCCACCTCTCACGAGCAAGTTAAGGAGTTTGTCCAAACTTCTAAATTTGACTCCCACCAACTCCTAGCTACCACATGAGAGCACTTAGTAACATTGTCCCTTCCAACAGACCTTCCTAGACACTACATTGGCTCAAGGATATACACATATCCATTTTGGAGCTATCTGACTGGCCCTTACCTTCCATGGTAGGAAAGGCCTCCCTGGATTTTCACGTATTGCCTAGTAGACACAAGGTTTGTACAATACCAGCATGCTTGCATAGGAACAATCCAAACTACTCTAAATGCTGGAACCATCTTTATCACTTTCTATCCAAACTTCAACATGCCGCTCAGTGATTCTTCTTTACATACGACACCTAAGGCCCAAATCCAGATTGGTGGTACTCCCCAAGTAAACACCTTCCAGGCAACATCTCATTACCAGATGGTGTACCGAGTACAAAACCATTCTCTAGACATCATGGTGCCAGATTAAGAACATGTTGGAGACGCGCTCTTCATAGATGTCAACTCAAGTGCAACACCCACATGTACCTACATGTAACATCAGTTACGCTCTTTGAATAAAAGAAACTATTTATCCAAATAAATTTTCCATAAAACAATCTCCAAGCAAATACGGGATATATGTTATAAATTTCCACCAAAAGACAAAATAACATAGTCTGCAATATACGATTCTCAGTACTATAAGTCGGATCCATAAAATACAAATATGTCTACTCAAAAGTATTGTATACCTAGATCCAACTCAAACGATACTCGTACAGCAGATCTAGACCGTCTAGTCCTTTACCTGGGCAGCTATCGACTTTCCTGAAAAGAAAGTTCATTCTAAAAGATTAAGCCACAAGGCTTAGTGAGATTATACCAAAGCTTATATTTATATATATAATAAATACAAAGCAAATCAAAAACGAAGCAGAACAAATAAGTCGTTTAATTAAGAATTTGATCGAAAAATAATCTAATAAAATTGTCCAAAACACTGTACAACCAGAGGGCCGCTGGTCTATACAACCAGAGGGCCGATGAATAACAGAGGGTCGATGAATCAATACAAACAGAGGATCGATGGATCAATACAACCAGAGGATCGATGGATCAATACAACCAGAGGATCGATGGATCAATACAACCAGAGGATCGATGAATCAATACAACCAGAGGATCGATGGATCAATACAACCAGAGGGTCAATGGTCTCAATACAACCA